AGATGAAACTTTTTTTGTAGAAGCATTTTTTAAATTTGAACTAGCACCTCATGACTACACCGCGTTATGTACGAGAAGCTGCAAAAGACACAGGCACAAGTGGAATGTACAAAACATGGTGACATTCATTTTTAAGTAAATATAATGGGCGATATATTGTGTCACCAAAAATGATTGAGGTCATGTACATATATTGCGTTATAAGTCGATATATTGATTATTGCGACAGGCCTACATAAAATCAAACAGCAGGAAATGGGAGCGTACCGTGTGTGTGTTCCCTGTGCAGGAGCTCTGTGTGGGGGAAGACTCGCATCAGGCAGGCCAGTGTTTGGGCCAGTGTGGGCTCCAGCAGGGGCTTCAACACGTAGGAAAGGGCCTGGCCGGGCGGAGCCAGGGCCCTTTGACCCGCAGGTACTATGGAGCGCAGAGCACAACCAAAGTCTTGTGGCCACAAAACGATAGAGGCCACGTCCAACTGATAACGCTGGCTGCTGCTGTAGATCTGAGGATAGCGCCGCCGCAGAGCCGCTAGCACAGCCTCTGTGCAAAGTGCTTTGATGTCGGCCCCACAGTAACCTGAGACACAGGGAAACAGCAGAGAACGTCACTATGTGGCCACCTGTAATACTGTTCAAAACATTAGTAAATAGCTAACTGTAAAAAAGCTTTTCACAAATTGCATTTTATCTTTTCATTTTTGTTAATTTTAATAATTCTGTTTTCGTTTTCATTTTTCTGGATTTCATTTAATGGTTAAAATAAATGTAAGTAAACATTAGAAAAGAAAAGTTGATATTGCTTAAACTTTATTATTATTACTATTATTTGTAACGCTTTACAATAAGGTTCCATTAGTTAATGGTAGAACAAATGATGAACAATACATTTATTACAGTATTTATTAATCTTTGTTAATGTTAGTTAATGAAAATACAGTTGTTCCTTGTTAGTTCATGTTAATTCACAGTGCATTAACTAATGTTAACAAGCACAACTTTTATATATGTTGAAATTAACATGAACTTATTGTATAGTGTTACCCTATTATTATTATTGTTAACATTAAGAAGTCAGTGTTTTTTTTGCTGGACTCCTTTTTAATGCTTAAATTACATTTTATTAATCAAAACGCATGTCTAATTAATTAAAATCATGAAACTTAAACAATTTAACATCAATTTATTAAAAGTTTAACAAATATTACATGTTTAGGGTCCTATG